TATGTAAGTTATGTAGTTGAGTGAATATCCCAGATGTTTGAGAGACGTGTCATTTTGATGCTTTGAGTAGCGTTTAGCGTTTACCAGAATAAACATTTGAGTGACTTTTTTTATCCAGTTTTAGGACACCCTATTACAACACACTTTTTATATCTATATGCTTATTAACTCTTTATTTAACTGGATGATAGATTGTAGTCATCGCACGTTTGGATAATTATCCAATGGATAGTTTTATTCACAGTTTTTACCACTTTTAACCAAAGGGAAGGAGAACTATGTGACATATTCTGCTCTCCTTCAAAACCTCCTGAGCTGGATCACAAGTTATCAGAGAAACTGTGAACACCCGTTAGCCTTTAGCTCGTAGCCCAGTGTCCAACAGAGAAACTCCGACTTCTGAAGTAAAACGGCTTAATTCAGTGTTTGTTGGGGGCTTTTTTTTCAGCCGGTCTGTTTGTGTTAGAGAGGAGAGGGAAAGACCTCTGTTAATAGTGCTGCTCTAGTAAAAACAATTCAAAATAAATATAGTCCTTCTTTAGTTTGAGTTCTAAGAGCTAGACCCCTAGCATCAGATAATGACATGAATTAGACTGATAAGAAGCTTGGGATGAAACTAATACGTGAAAACAAACGTTTCTCTCTCCCTCATTACTACATTTATTTGTAGAGCTCAGGAGCTGCCGGTCCTCCAATCAAGTCTCTTGTGTCGTTTATTTAGTCTGCTGCCATTCTCCCAGAGCAGGAAGTGGAGGCGCATTAAGGATTGATTATTGATGTCTGGCCCCTCTTAATGCAGGAGGAATTGGGGAGGGGGAGAATATCAAGACATGGATTATTAATGCCTAGAGTGTCATTATCTAGTAGTTTAACAGCGCTTAGAGGAGCTTAGTGATGTAAAGTTAGTAAATCACATGCAGGCACTGAAGCACTTTCCAAAACAAGCTGTCCTACATTTTGATTTCGTAAACACACAACCTTTCCATAAGTTAGTTTTGTGTTGTAGGCCTTGGTTTGCGAACATACAGCATTTTAGAGAAGTAGTTAAGTTATTTTTTTAAATGTCTTCCACAGTAAAAGAAGCATATTAAAAGGGGGTGTGGGTTGTGCGTTGGTGTTGGGATTAGGTGGTCACAGGTTCAAACCCCACTGCAGTCAGCATGTCGTTGTGTCCCCCTGGGCAAGACACTTCACCCCAAATGGCTCCTGTGGGGATTGTCCACAGTATTGAGTATATAAGTCGCTTTGGATAAAAGCATCTACCCAGTGACATGTAATGTAGGTAATATTTTTCTAAAAGTAAATTTGATGTATGCTATTGATCCTAAAAAACAAATTGTGTCTGTAGTTGCAAAACAATATCAAGGGCTAAAAGTTGGCTCTTGTCAAACTGTAGAAATAATTGGCATGTCAAAGTAAAGTCACAACAATGTTAGTATTGCAAAGTAGGGTTTTACATACAAGAAATTATCCTTGCTGTTTCTTGGTTTATAGGAAATAAACGTCATAAGAGAAAATTATAAGCAAGTACTGGAAAAATGGTAAAAAATAGTTGGAAACATATGATCACTGAGGTGCTATATTTAAATGGTTGATTTTGTCAAAATGTCATTTAGATTATTAAGTATATCTTATTTAAAGGAAAAGCAGGAAAAACATTCTTGATGAATGACTGCTTCATACATTTTCAGTACAGCATCTGATTATTTGAGTGTCAATTAACAAATTGATGAATCGTTTAAGCTCCACATAAAATTGAATACTTTACGTTAAAGTCATAGATTGACCAATAAGTCTGCAGTAGAATATCATTTTACATAATAGTTTTTTATTGCTGACTCCCTCTGCAGTCAAATGAAAAGTTATTATACCCAGTAGCTTTTTTTTTTAAGAGCTCTCTTTATTCTACAACTCTTTACCCTCCGCTTGGGTTTCCATCTCTCCAAATTTCCCAGCATCCCCGGAGCGGTGTGACCTCAAATTCCTTCCCCTGAGGGGGCCGGTTTATGGCTCAGTGGTTCCCTATAAGGGCGGGTTTATTCTGCTCAGGTGGGGCCGTGGACAATACGCCCTTTCATTCCCCGTCCTCCAAGATTTTTATGTCATGACGTCCAGGTATCCTGAGCAACGCCTGTTAGCTGAGGGACTCACTAAGGTGCAGATGAAGTGTCTGCAGGGAAAGGACACGGGTTCGAATCCCAAAGGAAGCAAGTCAGGAGGAAAATGATAGAGCTGCTATATTATCAGAAACAGGTTTATTACCAGGTAGGTTGACACGTACGAGGAATTTGTCGTGGTGCTTACATAAAAATAAAACAAACGTTTAAAAAAAAAAAAACAGATACGGAACGATCTTAAGAACATTATAATAACATTAAAAAATAAGGACAAATATAGTAAAATAAAAGCAAGATAAAGCAGTATTTACATTGAATATTATATCAAAAGATCAAAATCAGGATTATTCAAATATATATATATTTTTTAATCCATGTTTTCTTTTGTGAGTAAGGATCAGAATACCCCTACATTTAACATTCAACATGTTGCATCTTTTTAAAAATGTTCCATACAATTGGACTATCTGTCTACCCTTAGGGCTGCAGTTTATTAAAAAAACAATTGTGATTCGTCTGGCCGATATCTTTGCGATATGATCGGCGTTACTAGAGGAAATGATCATTTATTTATTCACAGTCTCATTGAAATATCTATTAAAATGAGGATCTGTTCCCAAAAGAGGATATTTTATTCACTCTGTAGAATACGGTTTGTGGCTTAGGACAAATTACATGTATGAATTGACTCTGCAAATAACTGCATTTTGCTTTAGATGTGCATTGAGTATTTGATATCTGAAGAAGTCTACAGAAACAAGACACTGGTGCATTAAAAAAATCTGTTGCTAAGGGAAGAATGAGTTTGTTGTTTGACGGAGAAGCACACCGAAGGATTTAGAGACAAGTTTGAACACGAGGAGGAGGAATGGAAGTTACCCGACACCCAGAGGCTTTTTTTGTAGGGTTTGGAGAAATGTGCATTTTATCTCTTTTCCTCTGCAAGTTGACAGATGTAATCGTTTGTTGTCTTTGAGTGAGACTTTCTGTGTGATTTTGAGTCTCCATGTCACTCGCTAGTCATATATATATATATATATATATATATATATATATATGTGTGTGTGCGTGTGTGCGCGAGGCGTCTTGCCTTGTGTTTTCAAAGGGAAATGGATGTGTTGGGTGATTTAGGAAGGGTGTGCTTCCTGTCTTGGGGGCTCACAACAGACGGTCCTTCCTGAACCTGCCTCGTCTTGCCCTCCCTCGCTCTGTCTGAGTGTGTGTATGAATGTGTGTATTTGTGTGTGTTATCTCACCATCCTGCTGTTGTTGTCGGTCTCTAAATGGAGCAAAGAGCGACTAACAAACTCCAGTTTTTGTTGTGGCAGCGAGGTGAAAATATTTCCACTTTTCTGTTATCAACACACAGATCATTCACTCCCTCTCATATAAAAAAAAACACACACACACCTTTGTTATGAAACCCAAAACTACCATGGCCTTTAAACACGTAGTGCTGATCTCTTAAAAAGATTCAGTCGATACTAATACGTGCAGTTTAACAGATACCAAATAAATTATTATAAGCATTTGCCTTTTAGGGGTTATGCTTTTTTTAATTATTTGCTTTTGATATAAAAACTAAATTTTACAGGATTACATTTGAAAATATGATAACGTTATAATTTACTTTCGCCAAATACGAATAATTTGTCATTTAATTGGAACCTCCGTTAGCGTTAGCTGTTAGCTCCGTTATTTTCCCAAGCCCTGCTTCCACTTCCCGCTCTCCTGCTGTTTTTAACACAGATTTTGTTGTTTATATTTAATGAGTCAGTACTTAGTTCAGTTTGTCTTCAATTGTAACTTCTAACATTCCTTTCAAATGAGTTGGGACCAAAATGTCCTCATATGGATTTTAGCTGGTAATTGGTCCTCACAAAGATGGAAAAACAAGCACACACATCCACTCTTTCACACACACTTTCCCTGTCTCACATCCCAATACGCTCCCCATTATTCACTTTCAATAATACACACATGCACACTTACTCATGTACAGTGTGTGTGTATGTGACTGTGTGTGTGAGACTTTGTTCTCGGCCTCTTCAGCCAGAAATGTGTGAAAAGTGGGTCACAGGTCGGACCTCTTTGTCCCCTTCGGGCAAATTAAAAGTGACGGACACCGGCCACGCATCACCACTAATTCCCCCCTCCCCACTCTCACACACACACACACACACACACACACACACACACACACCACACACACACACACACACTCCATCCCTCTCGGCGCCTACTAATTGCGACATGCCGTTATCAGGGCCAGCGCCGGCAATTTGCAGAACATCCCGGGACAAATAATTTGGTAGTTAGTCGGACCGTCAGAGGCCAGTGTCGGGCCTTCAGGGGCCAACAGGTCACGGCACACTGAAGACAGGGGGGGTGGGGGTCCTAACCTAACCAATGAGGGGTTGGCTTTCATTTTAGTGATAGGTTTAAAACTCAAGGATGTAGATCAGGCACACCTTGGCAAAGAGGAGAGAGTGAGCAAAAAGTCATGATACTCAAAATGTAAGACAATATTTAAATTATAATATCAAGATGTAACATTAAAATATTGCCCATCCCTGACTTAAATCTGTACATATGTAATGTTATTAACAAGTAAGTGATCTAAGTCAAATCAAATCAAAATGTTTTATAGCCCCAAATCACAAGAAATGCCTCCAAAGGGCTGTACAAAGCAAATACAAACGTCATAGCATAAAAATGATTACAACATTATACATCAACATAGGTATTGCCATGTGATAAAAGCATGTGACTGAAGTGATGGTTATGTTGAACGGAAACTAGGTGGTGGAAATCTATACTGTTTACTCTTATAAATACTGAATGCGTTCACTTACCTTGCATCTTCTTATTCTTCTTCTTTAGGGTTTTGGACCCAAAGAGCCAGTGAGACAGAAGAAGACCTGATATTGTGATATCTCCCATCATCCCTCCTCCTCCCTGAACTCCTGCTGAGGATTAAAGACTTTTATCAGGAGTTATCAGATCTCAGAAAGCTCCAGATTCCGGTTCAGGTCCAGCTTCAGTCTCAGGTTCTGCTGCAGGATGGCAGGTCCATCGCTCTGTCTGGCTGTCATGGCCGCCGCGCTCCTGCTGACCCTCAGAGCCGACGGTAAGACATTTTAATTCATTTCACTGCAAAAACCCAGAAACACACATACACGTGTGTGTGTGTGTGTGTGTGTGTGTGTGTGTGTGTGTGTGTGTGTGTGTGTGTGTGTGTGTGTGTGTGTGTGTGTGTGTGTGTGTGTGTGTGTGTGTGTGTGTGTGTGTGTGTGTGTGTGTGTGTGTGTGTGTGTGTGTGTGTGTGTGTGTGTGTGTGTGTGTGTGTGTGTGTGTGTGTGTGTGTGTGTGTTTGTGTGTGTGTCCGATTTCTAATAATAAACGCAAATATTATTCGATTTAATGTTTTTTCAGGACATTTTTAACATTAGAGATTAAGTTGTGCTTAATTATGTGTAAGTGTACACTTTAGTTAAATATCAATAAATTAATTCCCAATTTTATAATCTACTTAATTTGATCTAATATTTTGATCTCACTGAATTATAAAAAACATTAAAGTCATATAAAAAAGTTACATAGAAGTGAATTTAAACGGCTAAAAAGTAATTTTAAAGTAACTTTAAACTATTAAATATGACATTTAAATTATTTTAAATCAAGAAGCTTCAGTTATTTTTTTTCTCCCACATTGTATAAAAACATCAGAAAATGAGTTGTTTAGCTCTTTTAAAAAGGACTGTTGCTAAGAAGATGTTAAATCTTACTACAGAGGTTGTCGGGACATTAAACGTCATTTACACTTTAAAATAAATCCTAAAGTGTTGTTCCCTTGTGAAGATTTTCCTGCAGAACAGAACCTGTATCATAAACGCTTGTTTGTAATCCGCTGAGTAACTCATTAACCCTGCAGCTTGTTTTCAGTGAGATAAGCAGCACTTTAACATGAAAAGTAATTATGTTCCTCCTCTGTAATCACCGCCCTCCTCCCTGTGCACTCAGATCTGTATCACAGCCCTTTTGTTAAGGCTGTGATTACGCGTGTATTGGCCGATAAAAGAGAGACTTTAACATGAACCTGTGGAAACAAAACAGAGGACAAATACAGTCAGAAATGTTTCCACTGCTCGATTTAGGCCCTAGCCACACGGTGACGAAACGGGTCGTATCCGCTACAGTTCTCTAACTTATAGACGGTTCGGCCACACGAGGCCGACAGGGAAACGCGGATAACGATTACGTCAGAGGGGGAGGAAAAGAGAGACTCCGTGTATAATTCTTATATTATTATATAGAGTCGTTATTCATTTGTTTTAAAGCTCAATAAATAACAAAGAAAACCTCTGACCGGCACTTTTATAATTTTGTCCAGAAGATTTCAACTTTAACGGACATGTTGACCGGCGGGAAAAAATTCTAGCGGAAACTGCCACACGGTTCCCTCGTTCCTTGGAAGAGGCGGAGAGGTGGGTGTTTTTCATCTGCTGGCGGAGAGATTTACAGCAGGAGCACACGCTTGCCTCGGGGATGGAGAAAAAGAGCCAGAGCCCTGCATCTCCCCACCTCTGCTGCTAAATCCACCGCGGAGAATAAACAGAAGGGCAACCATGCTCGGGAAGTCTTCTTCGCTGCTTTTGGTGTATTATGTGGCGGAAGTACAGCGCCACTTACAGGCCCGGCGTATGTACTTCAGCGGGTCGAGCGGTCTCGTGTGGACGGACACGTTTCTGGTGCCTATTGCGTGTGGATGGAAGACTTTTTTGATATCGAATTCGGTTTGTTTTCGTTTCCGTGTGGCTAGGGCCTAGGTTTCTGAAATAACTTTGATTTCTTACTTTTCACAAAGATGATCAGAGTTTGGGAAGTTTTTAAGCTTCTTACATGTCAGTTAAACGTGACTTTAATTGTTGTTTTCTAGGACAGTGCAACTGAGCACGATAACAAATTAACTATCTAATGCAATTTAATATTTTAATGAAATTATTGATATTTATTTGGCATCTTTAGTTATCTTGTCATGTTCTTGAAGTAAGAAATGTAGTACAATCTAAAAAATGATCACACTTGCACATAAGTAGAGAAACTATCTTGATCAGATCATTCCTTCATTTCTAAATCATTCATCTTATTTATTGGAGATGAGATGCTTTTTATCTTGGTTTTATATCATTAACATCTTTTTCTGTTTACTTGCTACAAGTTTCACACTGTCACAGATGAAACAATGATTCGGTGAAAACATTACTAAAGAAATAACATTTCCAGCAACACAGTAAGCAAACTGTCTTTATGATTTGAAAATGATCAACTAAATTGAAAAGTAAAAATTGATGATTTAAAGATAATGGCTTTCTTCATTTCGTGTTAAAAAGAAAATCTTGTTAGAATGAAGCGAGTAAAGACTGAACATTTTGCATGTTAACAGGTTGTCGGGCTCCATTTTGTGGGTGTGAAAATGCCATTTTACTGCAAAGAGACGCAAACAGGGAATACATCTCCCTTTTATCAAGGATAAGTCTGCATGTGTTATTAGTCACAAAAAGTGCAGCTGTGAACATGAGAAATGTCTCCTTATGACCTACAAACACACAGAGAGCAGGCTAATAAGCGCAGGGCGGTGCTGACTGTGATTGACTAACTCGTCCACACACACACACACACACACACAGACGCACTAATCTTGAAAGGAAAAGTGGAGACTTTCTTTCATCTTATCAAACTGTTTTCCACTCGTCACCTCCGTCTGTTGACTTCATCCCTTCCCCCTGAAAAGCCCTTACATTTATAATCAATTGGTCTTTTATTATTATTTACAATTAAAGACATCAATTATTATCCGTTTTATTGTTGTTGCTCTGTTGGAGGAGCCTGTGACCTAAGCATTTCATTGTTCATAACTACACTGTAGCTATGCACACATGACAATAAAAGCCTTGAAACCTTGAATCAATTAAATCAATGAGGAATTATAAAATCTAAAATCTTTAAACATGGACCATCAATACCATTAAAGAGGGTTTCCCAGCCCCAGCAGCTGTATCTTTGCCCTCCACCTCCTCCTGCAGGAAGCTGTTGGACTGATTGTTGCCGCTCTCACTTCCTCTCGGCACATTAACCACTTCCTGTATGGCGCTGAACGAGCTGTCAGCGGCGCTAAATGCTCCAAACAACCATTGTTCTCCGGAAATATCCGTCAGTCCCTCTGGAGTCATATTCACTCTTTGAAACCCTTTGAGTTTATTTCCCCTCGAGATGCTGTAGATTTCAAATGACCAAAGGTTGTTTTTTCAATTCAGACACATTTTGTAGGAATACTACCTCAAAAGTGAGTCTTTAAAAATCAATTACTCACCATATGTTACCTTTTTAAAGGAAAAGGTCTCCCAGAAGTCATCAGGTTTTTTAGTTTATAACATTATAGAAAAGAATAAAAGCATATTAGGAGTCTTTAGTAATTGTTGCCATGTGAGGTCATTTTCTTAAGCAAATTCAACTATTTCATGATTCCACCACATTTTTTTTAGTACACATTAACCCCAAGTGCTGTTTGTCTTGCATTAGCATGTTAAATACCCATTCATAACGTTGTGGGTTTCCATTGGGTTTAATCCTACCATCGTTATTTCTTAGCATATTTGCAGATGGTCACTAACACTGGGTCGTAAAGTTTCTCTGCGTGAGATCATTACATTGCATTTAGCTGACACAATAGGCGCATTCACACCGCAGGACTTTCCCTGGTACTTTGGTTCTTTAGTTCCGTTAGTACCAATAATGTCGCGTTCACACCGCCGGGACTACTCAGTGCCGGGAACTCTTTTGGCCATTTTCAGTCCCTGCTAGAGAGGTGGTACGAACCTGGTGATAAAAGAGTGCCAATTTCTATTATATTTATATTGGCTGGGCGAATTGCAAACCACGCCCCGTTAGACTCTGATTTTTTTTGTTAGGCAGCCATTTTTTTCCTCGCTACAAAACCACATCCACACCTGAGCGAGTTGGTTGTTTGTACTTTAAAGCAGTTATGACCACACGTACTACAACACCGGAGCGGTGGAATGATGAGGAAGTGTCGCCGCTTCTGTCAATTTACTCCGAGGGCGGGATGCAGCAGCTTCTACAGAAAGCAGTTCCCAACTCCAAATGTTTTGAGCGATGTTCGCAAAAGCTACTTGAGCTGGGAATCGTGCACAGTGCACACGGATGCCGGGTAAAAATAAAGAAACTCAGGCAGGACTATACAAACATTAAAGACCACAATAATAAGAGTGGTAACGATTTTCTATTGTTATTATATATATATATTGCCACTGTTTTTTTAATACTGACACCTAACTTGCACTAAGGTGTGTCTGCTGCTATATATATATTGCCACTGTTACATTGTTTTGAAACTACTTACACTTTATTTTACATTTCACACTTTTATTTAACTTCAATGTACATGCATACGACAGACCTGGAACAGCGTGATGCCGTTATTGTTATGTCTTGACTGTGCAATAAAACAAACAAACTGGCGAAGCTTTATTTATTGTGTCCCACCCCAAATTTGCAGAATAGAAGAATGTGAGAGCAGACAGGTGTCGGTGGTTGAATGTATCTACAATGTTGCAACCTTGTGCAGCAATGGCAGAAACACAAGTCTTACACACAGAAACACAAGTCATTTATCATGTCATTTGTTTTAGATAAATAAGGGAAAACACCAAACAAGGGTTAATGTCCTTTTCCAGAATCAGCCTGAGGGGGTAATTTATAATAAATACATAAAGATAAAGTCCATTGTTATAATGGGGTATTTTATTTGTAAATTACCCTTATGAACTCCATCATGTCTGAGGTCGGAAAGTAAACAAACGCCTCATACAGCGGGTGGGCTTTATACCCCCTCCCCCGTGTAGTTCTTCTTCTCTGTTTTTTTTTTGTACTCGCCGTGAAGTGGTTTTGCGGCCTGCCAGTAAACCCAGAGAAGAAGAAGACGAAGTGACGTCAGCGTAATCTTGCCTCAGGGAAAGTACTGCGGTGTGAATGCGATTGGCACTAGCCCCATGGCGGATTCAGTGCCGTGGTACTTTAGTGCCGGCACTAAAGTACGGCAAGTCCTGC